ATATTGCTGCGGTCCTGCATAAGCGTTACCAGTCGCACATACAAGTATTGCAAAAATTTACATATATCCTTATATCCTTTTATATCCTTACAGTCGTGCAGAAATCAGTATGTTTGGAAAAGACCCCATGGGGTAAATAATTTATTATTTAGTTCGTATTACCCAAACTTCGACTGCAAAGTTTACTTTTGCTGCTGTTAATGTGACAATTTGTGTTGTTGCACCAGTAAGGCAGATATCAACACTGCAACTAATATATGCCATACCACAATGCATGATATGTACAAATATATATATATACATAGTGCAAAATATCCAAAAAAAAATAATGGAATAAAATGCACAACTTTACTCCTTGTTGTTCTGTTCGATTCCCTGCATTTTTCAACAAACGCACTGGTCCTTATTTACTTTTATTAATGCCAACCAAACATGCAAGACCCATAAATATAAACTTTTAATGTATGATCATAGTAATAGTAGAAATGGTTACGATAATACATAATTTTTCCAGATTTAATTTACTCAAAGAACGAAATAATTAACATATAAGCAAATGATTAATACCCAAATATTGAAAACTAAACAAGCTACACAATCCATTCCAACTGCAGTTAATTATTAGGTTTGAAAGTGAAATATTATTCAGCACTAACCGCCTAAACTGAACCCAAAAATTTAATTATAGATAGAGTTATAAATTGAACACTGAACAATTATGAATTCAATGTCCTAGCAATAGACGGCTAACTACTACATCTAGAGCAACTTCAATATCGCAGTAAATTGAAATTATAAGAGGTGCATTGAGTCTATTTCCGGCCAATTATATTTTCTAATATAAAGTCTCTAAATTTGTTCATTATAGAAAATGATCTCTACAGCTAGAGCAACTAAAGTATCGCAGTAAATTGAAAGAGTTACACTGTGTGCACTATTCCCAGCCAATTATATTTTCTAGTAAAGTCTCTAGCCTTGTTTATTACGGGTAAAGATCTATAAATCTTAACTTTTATGTTTGAAACAATAGCCAAAATCTAAAGGGTATATATCATTGCCATAAAACACAGTAAGTTCCATTAACTTACTCAAACCTTAGTATAACTCATGAATTAATAGTCTACCGCATCATAATATAAACCCAGAGTTCACTGTAAATATTTTATCAACACTATATTTGTGTGCATATAGCACATATATTTATTTCGAAAGAGATTTTATCATCTCAAGACCCTCTCCTGAGAGTCTGCCTAAAAGCTCTCCAAAATATGAACAATAAAATTGTACTATATGGCACCATATAAAAAACATGAAAAAAAATTTAATGGATAGATTTAGACCAATAAATCTCAAATCACCCAATAATGCTGAGTACTGCGAAGGTAATAAGTCTGATGCTAGACGATTAGAAGACATTCAGATATTTTAATATTAGAATGAGGTTAAGTGTAATCTACGTTAAGGAAAATTTAAGATAAAATATGAACAGGGGTATTCTTTATCTTTTAAAGATTTAAAAAGAATACTGCAAATAGATTTCATAGATTGCAACCATAACGGATATTTTGTGACACAACAACTATTTAGAAGATAATTAGATATTTTGGCCTTCAAATTAGAGATGTCATACATTATTTAGATTTTGTAATAATGTTATTACTGTGCCCACTTTAAAGGAAATTTAGAGGAACATATACAAAAGCACACCCGTCGGAACATTATTAGCACAAAGCAAAGTTAAAGAATTAAAATTTGAATAGGCTCTGAAATCTCTCTTAGATATGTACCTATAATATTCTATTACCTGAGATAGACTGATGTTGTTGAAGTGTTAGCATATCAAGTACTCTACTAGCACTATCTGCTTTGTTTCTGCTTAAAATGTCAATCTTATTGTGAAATACGAATAAACCGGCTATTTAGTTAAATGTTATGATAAGTGCTATTACCAGTCAATTTTATTAATTAGGTAAGCACTTCATATAAGCTACATAATAACCTATATAATAAAAAAACCTTTAAGTGATAAAAGTATGGATAAATATTTGTTAATATTATAAAATATTAGAAAACTGTCTTTTCGGTAGGGTTGATGGGGGAAAACGCCATAATTTTAAATATTCAAGCAAAGAGTTTTTAGTAGTATTTGGAGAGAAAAATAGTTGTAATGAAGTCCAAAAGACTTCAGTCATAATATAAACTACATATATCTTCCATCCACTCTGCAATTGATATAGCGATAATTATTTTGCTATCTGCCTGCTCACATTGAATGCCTGCTCACATATGCTACATTCAGAGAACATGCTCTCTTACATGCATACCTGAATATATTTTTTATCGCTAGATCTTCTTAAGATCGAAATTCAAGCATATAGACGCAATATTCTTTAGCACACTTCACAGCGACTGTAGTTTAGAAATCTACAAATTTTATATATATTTATCAAAGTACTTAATTAATTATTAAGGTTTAATAAGCTTCCCAAAAATACGGCAGGTAAAGATCTTCTACGCCACTATTTTGTTTAGCAGATCTTTTTAGTATTTAGTTAACTATAAAAGTTTAACCATTTTCCCAAAAATATGACACCTAAAATTAATGTTATTAGTAAATCCATACAATGAAGGGATATGGACCTCAGTATGTCCACTGAATAGTGAATTTATTCGTTACATAGTTTGATACTGAACTTGTTTTTAATATAGAAAGTCTTCAACAAATTAACTGCCGATATGGTTAAACTACCAAGACGATTTTAAATATTCCACAGAAAAGATATTTGAATTTTATTGGCGATTGATAACGAAGTTACGGAAATCATGAAATTTAATGCAACAACAGGAAGATTTATCCATAGACAAGTCAGGAATAAACTTTATTTTGTTTGTATTATTCTATTTATAAAAACGCACAATATGCAGGTCTTTATGAATTGATGTTTTCGAATATAAACTGTTGCATTAGATGTAATTTAATTTTTATGTCCAAGATAGGGTTAAACTTTTTTAGACTACAGAACGTTTTGGGTTTTGAAACTGCATCAGAAACTGCTTTTACAGACCCTAAACCTTTTTATGGATTGAACTGGACCAGTATAAGACAAATAATCAGGAAAGGTAGTATGTTTTGCGTCTGACAAAACAAAACACTGATCAAACTCTATTCCTACAAAAACATACATAAATTCTCAAAAGGTAATTAAACGAGTTTTATCACAGGTCATTATTACCTGAAATATCACCGATATAAATTTTAATTATCTGCTAGTCCGATATGCAGATAATGCCACGAAGATGAGGAGACTACTATGCTGAACTATTGTACAGCTTTAATAGCGCACGGAAGAAACTTGTTTCATTTGGAATTTCTGTCGCCGGTACAGACTAAGAGCTCTTCACCAGATTTAGTTCTGGACTTTGTTCACAAAGCTTTAGAGGGCTTTGTGTGATTAAAATTGAATTTGGTACAATAGGCCTCTTATAGCCACAGTATCAGCTGTTGGACAAATCTAAGACATTAGTTTTAATTTAAAAAATTAACTATCTTGGTGTACTTAAATATTTATAAAGAGTAGGTACAGAGGAATATATATGTTAGCTATATCAACGTTGATACACAGCTCCATCTACTTCGATTGAGGAGTTTCCTTTGCGGACGTCTTCTGGTAGGTCCGAATTTTCTCGAAATTAGCTGGAATCAATCGTTAATACTATTGAAATGTGTTAATAAAAGTCTGCCTTCATATTCTAATAAGGTTTAAAGTTAATGATAATTAAATAAAATACTAAACTTGCTTTAATCTTCAGTTATTATAGAATAATTACTGCCTTTATTGTGATTATGCTGAAGTACTATAAGCTCTACAATATTGAAATTTGCAACACTTGACTATTATATTATGATATCAAACAAAAGGATAAATTAAGTTAAAATATTTTTAACAATTTTGTTAGTTTAGCACATAACTTTATATAAACATATAACATATGCAATTTTGGAGTTTTTGTTTATGTTTACTCATTAAGTATAAAAAATATTTGGAAGTTATTATACTTGCAGGAAAAAATATAGCTCAAAATTGTTTCAAAAACTCATTAGCGAAATTTGTACATGGTTGTTAAGCTTGTTAAAATGCAATATTTTAAAATTTACACACTACAAAAACTTGGTCCTTACATATGGGACTACAGTTAGACATGTTAAAAGGATACGAAAACGTAAACAAACATTTTCCTAACAACGAAATACCAAGTTTTTGTAAAGTGCAGTAAAAAATTAACTTCTGTTTAAATATAATTAGTAACGTCAAATTTAACTTTATGAAAATGTTAATGGTTTATGTTGTGTTGAAATTTTTTAAGCTTCTACGCACAAGGACATCCAGCATGTGTTACTCTACTCTATTCAACTCTAGTCTACTCTAGTGTACTATACTGTACTCTACTCTGCTCTACTCTACTCTACCCTGTTGTGCCCTGCAGTATTGCATAAAATATGAAATAAAAAATAAAATCGAATATTACACAAAAATATGGTAGGGAGTAAGGAAAGGATATCCTCATACGAGTAAGTACTGTACACAAAAAAAAAAAAAAATTAAGGAGAACTTTTACTTTGTACTTGAAAGTACAAGCCAAAAAATTTGTGGACTATGTATAGGATGTATGGGAAGAAAGTACACTTGATACTTAAAACAACCGTAAAACAAGAACAAAGTGTATGCGAATTGCTTTGACACTGACGCTCTGATACTGAGATGGGTTAAAAGGCGACAAAAGGTGCCTCCTGCAATGTTAATACGAAAGGTTAAATACATGCTTGAGTGTTTGAGTAAACATACTTTCTGAAGTACATGTAGCGACACATATGCCGAGGCAGTTACACTGGAGTTTAT